AGATTAGGCTGCAAGCAGCAGAAAATCATTCTCAAACGAGACTAAACAAACATCATAAAAACTTGTCACATGGGCTGAAAAAAGCAGGGGTAGCTCCAGGGTCCACTGATTCAGAAGTTGAGCAAAGTCATTAAGTATCCAGGTTCTTTTCATCTCTGTATTAGTTTCCTGTTGCTGCTGTAACAAATTACCACAGACTTAGTGACTTAGAACAACACAAAGGTACCATCTTACAATTCCGGAGATGGGAAGTCTGTCGTGGGTCTCACTGGGTTAAAGTCAGTGTGTCAACAGAGCCGTGTTCACTTCTGTAGGCTGGAAGGAAGAGCCTGTTTCCTTGCCTTTGCCAGGTTCTAGAGGCTGCCTGCATTCCTTGGCTCATGGCCCCTTCCAGCTTCAAAGCCAGCAATGACTGGTTGAGTCTTTCTCATACTGCATCCCTCTGACACTGACTCTCCTGCCTCCCTCTTCCACTTTTAAGGACCCTTGTAATTACACTGAGCCCATCCGGATAACCCAGAATGATCTCTCCATCTCAAGGCCCATACCCTTAATCACATCTGCAAAGTCCCTTCTGCAGTATAAAGTAATACTGTCACGGGTTCAGGGCTGAGGACACAAGTCATTTGGGGCCATTTGGCCTACCACAATCTCTCCCCCTCCCAGCCTCAGTGTGCACTGGTTCCTCTCAAGAGTCATAAAATGAAGGGAGAAACCAAGATGGCGGCATAGGTAAACACCGGAAATTGCTGCCTCACACAACAACTTCAAAAATATAACTAAAAGAAAAAACGGACATCATCCAGAACCACAGGAAGGCCGGCTGAGTGGAAATTCTACAACTAGAAGGAAAGAGAAAGCACACTGAGACTCAGAGGAGGTGCGGAAGTAAAGTGCAGAGGTACGGAGGTGCACGTGGAAAGGGCTGGCAACTGAGGACACGGTTGTCTTTTCCAATCGGGAGGGAGTCTCAAGCTCCCAACTGCTCTGAACTCCAGTTCCAGGCGAGTCTCTGGGGACCCAGACTCATACAGGGAGAAACTGGACTGTCTGGCATCCGGCGGAACTCGAGGGCGGCTTTCTCTCAGAGGTGCTTGCAGCGATTACCACGGGACAGAGATGCGAGGCCTCTTAGGGCAGGACTGAGGATCAGCCATAGCTGCTTGCTCTGCCCTGTTGATCCCCTGAGACCCTGCCCCATCCAAGCTGTGTGCAGAGGCTTTTGCATATTAAAGGCCTGGCCCTTTGCAATCTGAAAATTACCTAACAAACTACAGCTGGGTCAGAGAGACCCAGAACTTCCAAAAGAAGGCCCAAGGCACCAGAGCAGCTTGCATTGCTTCACAGCTGGGCCTCATCTGGGCACCTCCAAACCCCAAACAAAGAAGAGGAATCTGCAGAACTCTCCATAGCTCCTGCTGGGTAGCCTCAGGCAGAGGCTAAATTAGCACCTCCTTAGAGATCCAAGAGCCAGTGTACCCAGTGGTCAGAGTGGGACCGTCCAGATTACAACTCCTAAGATCCATAAGGGACACACTCAGGGGGCAGACTCAGTGAGCACCAAAGCCCTACTTAAGCAAGTCTTGCCTCATAAGGGTGTCTCCAGCACAGAAGTTCTCCCACTGCAGACACAGCTGATTCTCACAGCCAATTGGCCTGGAGGTCAATTCCTCCCAGTGATACCTACAACTATCAAGGCTTAACTACAACAAGACTGTGCACAAAGCCCACAAAGGGGTGCACCAAGAGTGTCCGCCTCAGGTAATTGGGGAGGCTGAGCCACTGAGCCCTATAGGACACCTATCAACACATGAAAGCATAAAAAATGCGGAGACAAAGAAACAAGTCACAAATGACAGAAATGGAGGAAAGCAAACTGCCGGATATAGAGTTCAAAACCACACTTATAAGTTTTTCAAGAATTTTCTAGAAACGGCCGATAAATTTAGTAAGACCCTCAATAAGTCTAGTGAAACCGCCGATAACTTTAGTGAGACCCTCAAGAAATCTAGTGAGACCCTCGAGGTTATGAAAAAGGACCAACTAGAAATTAGGCATACACTGACTGAAATAAAGAATATTATACAGAGTTCCAACAGCAGACTAGAGGATCACAAGAATCAAGTCAAAGATTTGAAATACGAAGAAGCAAAAACACCTAACCGGAAAAACAAAAAGAAAAAAGAATCCAAAAATGTGAAGATAGTGTAAGGAGCCTCTGGGACAACTTCAAACGTACCAACATCCAAATTATGGGGGTGCAGAAGAAGAGAGAGAGCAAGATATTGAAAACCTATTTGAAGAAATAATGACAGAAAACTTCCCCTACCTGGTGAAAGAAATAGACTTCCAAGTCCAGGAAGCGCAGAGAACCCCAAACAAAAGGAATCCAAAGAGGACCACACCAAGACACATCATAATTAAAATGCCAAGAGCAAAAGACAAAGAGAGAATCTTAAAAGCAGCAAGAGAAAGAAAGTCAGTTACCTACAAGGGAGTACCCATACGACTGTCAGCTGATTTCTTAACAGAAACGATGCAGGCCAGAAGGGAGTGGCAAGAAATATTTAAAGTGATGAATACCAAGAACCTAAAACCAAGATTACTTTATCCAGCAAAGCTATCATTCAGAATTGAAGGTCAGATAAAGAGCTTCACAGATAAGGAAAAGCTAAAGGAGTTCATCACCACCAAACCAGTATTATATGAAATGCTGAAATGTATCCTTTAAGAGGAAGAAGAAAAAAAGGTAAAGATACAAATTATGAACAACAAATACACATCTATCAACAAGTGAATCTAAAAATCAAGTGAATAAATAATCTGATGAACAGAATAAACTGGTGAATATAATAGAATCAGGGGCATAGAAAGGGAGTGGACTGACTATTCTCGGGGGGGCAGGGCAGGGTGTGGGGGATGCGGGAAGAGACTGGACAAAAATTGTACACCTATGGATGAGGACAGTGGTGGGGGGGTGGGAACCAGGTGGAGGGGAGCTATGAGGGGAAAAAAGAGGAACAACTGTAATAATCTGAACAATAAAGATTTAATTTAAAAAAAATAAAAAATAAAAAAGAGTCATAAAATGGTAATTAGAGTAGTTTCACATCATATCCAGACAAACCTTCCACAGGAAGAAAAGGGTGTGCCATCTCTTTCTTGCTTCTCTTTCATAGAAGGAAAAGGAAACCATTGCCATAGGCCCTAGAACAGATCCTCCTTCCTGTTTAATTGACTGAGATGGGTCACCTACTCATTATCAATCCAAGCTTTGACAAGGAGAATAGGTTCACTGTAATTGGCCTAGACCAGTGGTCGGCAAACCACGGCTCATGAGCCACATGCGGCTCTTCGGCCCCGTGGCATGGGCCATGAAGTTTCAATCGCACTGTACGTGCGCACCCGCACGTGGTATTTTGTGGAAGAGCCACACTCAAGGGGCCAGTTTGCTGACCACTGGCCTAGAACAGTGATGGCGAACCTTTTAAGCTCAGCGTGTCAGCATTTTGAAAAACCCTAACTTAACTCTGGTGCCGTGTCACATATATAAATTTTTTGATATTTGCAACCATAGTAAAACAAAGATTTATATTTTTGATATTTATTTTATATATTTAAATGCCATTTAACAAAGAAAAGTTAACCAAAAAAATGAGTTCGCGTGTCAGAGGTGTCATAGGTTCGCCATCTCTGGCCTAGACTAATAATTTGGGCTGGCTGCGGGAGTGTCAGCCACCATATTCACTCTAATGCAGCAAATTCCCCGAAGGGGATGTAATTACTATTTATAGAATACTTGCTGCTAAAGGTCCACTACTGTGCTAGATGTTTTACACGTCATCTTGCTTAATCTCACATCAACTCTGTGAGGTAGGTATTAAACCAATTTTACCAGGAAAGCTGAGGCTCAGTGTGCATTTTACTATTTGTTCTAGTTATAGATACTTCTGTATTTAACATTTCATATACAGATGCAGACATAGAGATTCTGGTTATTAAGGACAGGGGAGTGGAGTTGAAATCCATTGTTCTCTACCAACAGAAGGCCCTTTGATACTAAGACAGTGTTATCAAAAGTAAGCATGGCTCTGAGCAGCCCACCCATGCCTAGGGAACAGACGAGAGGCCCTCACTTCGAGTCTGTGGTTCCCCGAAGGCCGGAAATCCCAATTCCCAGTGCAACGTGACACGCCTCAGAGGATGTGTAGACTACTGCTCCCCAGAACACATCCCTGTGCCTAACTGGCCTGCCAGTATGCAGCCTCAGTGGTTTCCACCACGTCACCACTGTGTGGTTTTAGGCAAGTATTCAATTCTCTAAGTGTCAGTTTCCTCATCTGTAAAATGGGAATAGCACCGCCACCCACAGGGTTGCTGCAAGTATCCAATACAATACTGTACACAAACCAGGAAGAACAATTCCTGGAACAGAGCAGGCAACCAATATGCATTGCCAATTTTATGGATTTTTTCCCAACAACAGAATTTCTGATAATAAAAGGCATCACTAGAATCTATTTCATCAAGAGACTTTTTTTAAAATATCTTTTTATATTTTTGTTAATCCTCACCGGAGGATATTTTTTCCATTAATTTTTAGAGAGAGTGAAAGGGAGGGGGAGGAGACCGAGAGAGAAACATCGATGTGAGAGAGATACATCGACTGGTTGCCTCCCGCATGCACCCCAACCAGGGCAGGGATTGAGCCCGCAACCAAGGTATGTGCCTTTGACCAGAATTGAACCTGGGACCCTTCAGTCTATGAGCTGACACTCTAACCACTGAGAAAAACCGGCTAGGGCAAGAGACTTTTTTTTTAGTATTAAGTTCTTCCCCCAAATCAAAATAACTCTCTAATTCAAAGTCAATATTTTATTTATCAAAGAACTAAAATATCCTGTTTTCAGACAGTTACCATATATGCTCTATACGTTTCTTAAATCTGATTCCTAAAAATTAGCAGCTGCAAGAGGCAATTATCAGAAAGAGCAGTTGTTTTAGAAAAAGATTTTCTACGGTATTCCTATAAATAAAAAGGTATGCTAAGGGATTTAAATTGTGATCTGCAACTGCGATCTTTCAATTATGATGTGCGTGTGACTATTTTAGGAATACACTTATGACACAGGCAAACGTCTACTGCTGGGTACAATCCTTAGCTCAGGTCTCAGACTTAGACACGAGTAGGCTGAGTAAGGACAGCTGAACATCGAGACAACTTTCCCTTTAGATTTACAAAACAGCACAGGAAGCAAAGAAGGGCCTTTAAATATGAAATCAAACCAAGTACAATTTTTCTAAGGTTCCTGGAGGGCTTGAAGTGCTGAGCAAGTTCAAGTACGTGTCTTCAGTGAAGAGTGTCAGGAGTGGGCACATAATGAACGTTCCAATGAACGTGGCAGCCGGGACAGGGGCCAGCTGCAGAACCCAGGTGCCCTCTGGTGCCCGTCTCAGCCTCCTAGACACACACTGTGGGTCATGCCCTCGAGCCTCTTAGGTTTAATATATTCTCCACCACGCAGTGATTCAGAATTATTCTTCTCCCCGAAGTCATGCAATTTCCTCTCCTTTCTCACCAAAAACACTTCCTCAATAATAAGCAGAGTGTTATTACTTCAGGTTGTTGTTTTTAAACTGGAGAAATCTCAGGCATGTTCTTTTCAGAGTGATTTAAACGGCTGTAGTGAAACAACTGAAAAGAAAGAACAAAGATGCTAAAATATGAATCACCCGGCCAGTTGTCCGCTGGAGAAGCTGACCGCGTCTGCTGGCCCCGCGGCCACATCACGACCTGGGCCTCGCGCTCCCTTTCCTGAACGTATGGAGTGGGCTCAGGAAGGAATGTGCCTCGGTGAACCCTGACTAGCCAATCAAAACCAGAAGGTTCCAAGTTCAGTGACTAATATCAGAAATGAATTGTGCGTGGTGAAAAGGGAACTTTGTGCAGCGGAGAAATTTATGCCCTGAGAGCAGCCGTATCACAGGTGTGCGGGATCACCTGGAGAAACTGAACTTTCACAAAGGCGAGTTCAAACATTTCTTCAGGCAGCACGCCTGTCATCGCCGAGGATGAAAAGCTAAATCGCGTTCTGCGGTAACGGAGCGCTGCACGGCGGAGCTGCCACGCACGGGGGACAGCCAGGGCTCCATGCGGCCGTCGCTGTGCTAAGCACTGCGTAAGCCCGATGCTAGTGAGGCTAATCCTCACAGCCCACAGGCAGTGTTACCCGCCCTGGTCTGCAGAAAAGCAGCATGGGAAGGTGAGGTCCACTGCTGCTGCTCACACAGCTAGAGAATGGGCGGTGGAGGAGGGGAGGGGGCTCTCTCTCCAATCCCAGGGCCTTTGTTCTTAGCCACCATACTATTCAATATTCTTTCACCCCTTTCTCATGCCCCGAAGTTCATAGAAAAATATTTTTAAAAACCTGGGAAAATTAGATGGAAGAAATATTCAAACATGAATAGGCACAGGCTGAGCAAGAATGGTCTTGAAAGTATGGGGTTGGGGGTGGGCACCTATTTCCAGAGTGGATTATATTCATTAATAACCGTGGGAGATAAATTAAGTACAAAA